GAGATTTACGATCTAGTAAAAGGCATGAGCTTGGAAGATACCTTACATCTATCGATTGGTCCTCTCTGAATTATTTTGACACATGCGAAATGAAACTCCAGTATTTCGAAGAGTTAGTACGTCTCGGTATTAGCACCATTATGCCAATAAAGAAAACGGCTCTGCATGTACACGATCCTCCATGGATTACTGCAGAATTTAAAGAGCTTATAAGGAAGCGTCAAGCTGCCTTCTGCAGTGGAAATACCTTTCAGTTCAAGTATTACCGGAATCGGGTTAACCGCGAGCGAAAGACATGCCGGGCGAAATTCTACTCTTCAAAAGTAAAGAATCTTAAATCGACCAAACCGAAGAGATGGTGGAAGGAGGTGAAGCAGATTGCTGGTATGGTACCTACGTGTACAACCGGCTCCGATGACCTATGTAGTCAACTTCATTTAGACGATATCGAGAATATGCAACGTCCTGACATTGCGAATTTAATTAATAACGCCTTTTTGGAGCCCATGAACTCCTTCAATCCACTGTCAACCCTTCCCCCCTTTGATAATTATTCCTCTTTTCAAGTGAACGAATTGGAAGTCTTTCATTTACTGGAAGCAATTAATCGTGGAAAGGCGTCAGGTCCTGAAGAAATTCCCAATTGGGCTCTTAAGGAATATGCTGAAATCCTTGCACAGCCAGTATGCGCTGTGCTAAACAGCAGCTATGCCGAACAACAACTACCTAAATCTTGGAAGCTTGCCAACATTGTGCCCCTCATAAAAACTAAGCCCGTTAGCGACATTTGTAAGCAGTTACGACCAATTTCACTTGCTGCCGCTATTTCGAAAATCGCTGAGGACTGTGTTGTTAAAAAATACATTGCTCCAGCTATCATGAGTATAATCGATCCAAGTCAATATGGAGTAATACCAAGAAGTTCAACTACTCTCGCTGTTATATCTATGATCCATGAATGGTCGCAAGTTACTGATGGCACTGGCTCTGCTGTCAGAGTCATCCTGTTCGATTATAGAAAAGCATTCGACCTTATCGATCATGCTTTACTGGCTGATAAAATTTCCAATTTAGCTATTCCACGTGCGGTTGCTCGCTGGACAATCGATTTTTTGATGAATCGAAAGCAGAGAGTGAAATTATCCAATGACTGCTACTCGGAGTGGGGAGATGTACTTTCCGGTATCCCTCAAGGTACAAAATTAGGGCCCTGGCTATTTTGTTTAATGATAAACGATCTTGATATTTGTGATATATCGAGGTGGAAGTTTGTTGATGACACAACAGTTGCTGAAGTGGTTAGTAAGGACACAGAGAGCCGTGTTCAAGTCGCAGTTGATGTTGTGGAAGATTGGTCGAAGGCAAATGGGCTATCTCTTAACACTGAGAAATGTAAAGAACTGAGAATCGATTTTAAAAAAATTAAACAACATTTTGATCCTGTACTGGTGGGTGGAGAAGCATTGCCTATAGTTGAGAGTGCAAAATTATTGGGTCTTGTTATGACAGGCACACTTCAGTGGAAAGATAACATCAGAGAGAGTATAAAGAAAGCTAATAAACGCCTCTATTTTATAGTATTATTGAAACGGGCAGGCGTAAATGTCAATGATGTCTTGAACTTTTATTGTACAGTGATCAGGCCTGTGCTCGAGTATTGTGCGCAAGCCTTCCATCATTCCATCCCAAAGTATTTGGCAGACGAACTTGAGACTGTCCAGAAACGTGTGCTAAAAATTTTATCTCCTGAAATGACATATTGTGAGGCCCTTGAGTATTTTAGACTGCCTACTCTATTTCAAAGAAGAGAGGACATGTGTGACAAACTCTTTACGAGTATCATCAAGGATCCAATGCATAAACTTCATCATCTGCTGCCCCCAAAGAACGAGACTGATTATTCTTTCAGGACGAATCGGTATTTTAATATGTACGTTACACGCACGAACCGCTTTTATAACTCTTTATCCCTGCTATGTGTAGGAAGTTTGTAGGATAGATTTTATGCTTATTTTAATCGAATTTTGATCGAGGGTGGGTTTTATAATATTGTATTAATAATATATTTATATGTAGTGCATGTGATAATATGTAATCCACGCAATTCAGCTTCTGGCTGCAATGTGGTTTCAATTTAATAATAATAAAATATATATATATATATATATATATATATATATATATATATATATATATATATATATATATATATATATATATATATATATATATATATAAACGATGGAGTTCTCCGAGAGTAATATCACATACGTACCCTTTTCTAGATATATGCAAAATTAAAAGCAAAGATTAACATACGATAGCATTCCTCCACTCGTGAGCTCATTTACCGAAGCAAATGTCCAGGCCTTGTGACCCTGGAGAACTCCATCGGAGAACTCCATCCTTTATATATTACCTGAGAGACATAAAATATGTATTTATTTTACTTCCTATCACCTTATAAGATAATCCTAGTAGTTTCTAGGTCATTGCTGTAGCTTTCAGCATTCAGTCAAAAGTATTTGACTTATTCATTTACGTATTTCCTGATATTGTTTGAACAATATGGCGACAAGGAGATGAGTTGCGTTGAGACATATTGTTGGATAATTGAAACACAACAGGTAACATTTCATGTGGCGTCACCTTAAATAATCGTACGAATGTGTGTGTATTCCTTCCTTTAAGTGCCCATCCAGGGTCACAAGGCCTGGACATTTGCTTCGGTAAATGAGCTCACGAGTGGAGGAATACTATCGTATGTTAATCTTTGCTTTTAATTTTGCATATATCTAGAAAAGGGTACGTATGTGATATTGCTCTCGGAGAATTCCATCTTTTATATATTACCTGAGAGACATAAAATATGTATTTATTTTACTTCCTATCACCTTATAAGATATTCTAGTAGTTTCTAGGTCATTGCTGTAGCTTTCAGCATTCAGTCAAAAGTATTTGACTTATTCATTTACGTATTTCCTGATATTGTTTGAACAATATGGCGACAAGGAGATGAGTTGCGTTGAGACATATTCTTGGATAATTGAAACATAACAGGTAACATTTCATGTGGCGTCACCTTAAATAAGCGTACGAATGTGTGTGTGTATTCCTTCCTTTAAGTGCCCATCCAGGGTCACAAGGCCTGGACATTTGCTTCGGTAAATGAGCTCACGAGTGGAGGAATGCTATCGTATGTTAATCTTTGTTTTTAATTTTGCATATATCTAGAAAAGGGTTCGTATGTGATATTGCTCTCGGAGAACTCCATCCTTTATATATTACCTGAGAGACATAAAATATGTATTTATTTTACTTCCTATCACCTTATAAGATAATCCTAGTAGTTTCTAGGTCATTGCTGTAGCTTTCAGCATTCAGTCAAAAGTATTTGATTTATTCATTTACGTATTTCCTGATATTGTTTGAACAATATGGCGACAAGGAGATGAGTTGCGTTGCGACATATTGTTGGATAATTGAAACATAACAGGTAACATTTCATGTGGCGTCACCTTAAATAATCGTACGAATGTGTGTGTGTATTCCTTCCTTTAAGTGCCCATCCAGGGTCACAAGGCCTGGACATTTGCTTCGGTAAATGAGCTCACGAGTGGAGGAATGCTATCGTATGTTAATCTTTGCTTTTAATTTTGCATATATCTAGAAAAGGGTACGTATGTGATATTACTCTTGGAGAACTCCATCCTTTATATATTACCTGAGAGACATAAAATATGTATTTATTTTACTTCCTATCACCTTATAAGATGATCCTAGTAGTTTCTAGGTCATTGCTGTAGCTTTCAGCATTCAGTCAAAAGTATTTGACTTATTCATTTACGTATTTCCTGATATTGTTTGAACAATATGGCGACAAGGAGATGAGTTGCGTTGAGACATATTCTTGGATAATTGAAACATAACAGGTAACATTTCATGTGGCGTCACCTTAAATAAGCGTACGAATGTGTGTGTGTATTCCTTCCTTTAAGTGCCCATCCAGGGTCACAAGGCCTGGACATTTGCTTCGGTAAATGAGCTCACGAGTGGAGGAATGCTATCGTATGTTAATCTTTGTTTTTAATTTTGCATATATCTAGAAAAGGGTACGTATGTGATATTGCTCTCGGAGAACTCCATCTTTTATATATTACCTGAGAGACATAAAATATGTATTTATTTTACTTCCTATCACCAAATTTATTCTGATTCTATGCCACCTGCATGCTGATTTCACGCAACGCGTCCTTCATGGAAGCATCTCAAAACATTCAATCTTGGAGTTTAATAGCTACACTACTAAGATAATCGTTTACTGCGATAAGAAATAAGAAAAGCTGACAGAAATATTGGAAGGTAGGTTTACAGTTAGCTGGGATATGTACCTTAATTAATAGCGACTTAGTGTAATTTAACGACTTATAACACATTGAAATAAAAGAGACTTTAGTTAATAGCATGTACGGCAGCCAGTATACGCAAAGACGACGCGACCTAAAAAATTATAGGCCCGCTTATCATGTAGTGCTTTGGGCTAAAGATTGGGAATTCATTACAAAAGAGGTATGCTTGGCCGTTTATACAAGCCGACGAATCTGGGAAGGAATCGTTACAGGAATCACGCCTATAAACATTTTCTTCGCCTGTTTATATTTAGGCTTCAGCACGTAAAATAAATTGCTTGATTCTCGTGAATACATTATGAAATGTCGAGTAGGTTGGAAGTTTATATTAAAATTTCTTTAATTTAAAGATACCAAGAAATAAAAACCGATGTGAAATATAAAAAAAACTTAACTGTCTTGAAGTACTTTGTCGGACGGGACATTATTATTGTATGTATGATGAAATACTAGAAATACCTGCATGCAGAAACCCATCTCCTTCATTGCAAAAATATGGCTGTTTGGCAGCAAGCAAGATTTCAAGAAGAATTAATTTACTATGAAAAATCGCAAAATATAGTGAAAGTTTTATAGTGCATTTTGTTACTTTAATTTCTTATCTCAAACATGCAATGCTTTCCTTTTTAAGAAAGCTGTACATTTCCTAAATTACCGATTGCAACAACGATTTTAAATTGAAAAGAAATATCAGGATATCAAACACGCAGTGAAGCGTTACATTATGACTCGTCATTGAAAATTTTCCTATGGAATGCGTAACATAGCCTTGAGTCAAAGAAAAGTAAATTTCGACACAAACGATAACCGAGTTAAACTTCGGCGCGTAAAATCAATTAACTTGCTTCGAATATTGTGAAGAAAAACGTGTTTACAAAAACAAATATGAGGGCAATGCTTCAGTTCTCCAGTTGTTTCTAGGAACAAGGCATAATATCAAGCAATTAGAATACGGAAGCAAAGCTAAAATATCGTGGGGAACAAGGGAACTTTTAAACTCTGGGAACATGCAGCGCGGTGAAATCTCAGCGGTTATGGAGAAATAATTATAATAGAACGGTTTAAGGAACGACCGACCCAACCTCGTTCCCAGGCTCTTCCCTCTTGTGGAGGAAAGACCCTGGCTGGGGCTGGCTGCGTGGCACGAACAGCTGGGCATTCTGTTGTCGCTGTCTAAATATTGCGGGCGCATTTCTTTAACAAACATTTTGATTCTTCGAACACTGAACATATGCATTGTGAGAGGATTTTTTGTCCGCTTTTACTGGTTTGTTCATGGAAAATAAAGTGTTTCTTGAAAGATTAAGTTGTAGTGCTTGTACGCAACGATATAACGACTTAGTCGCATGAAAACGTGCGAAGAATTTTTATTTACAAATGGACGACAAGTGGAAATGTTTCACTCATTGTCAGAGTTTCAGAAGCAGTGTACAGCAGTATAGAAACAAGGAAGTGTTCATATTTTACTCTTGATAAAAGCTGAGTTGTTGTTGTTTCCACAGGTATGTTCAATAATTTGTTTGTCCTTCTTCATCTGGAATAATAAGTGTCTTAAAATACATATTTTGATGAAAATGACACATATTACTCTTGCAATTTCGTAAAAAGTGTCCGTTGCCTTTAGTTAGAAAATATATTTTATGAAAGTTAAATCATACCTTGTTTTATTAAAACCTGAGCTGTTCATGGAAAAAATGTGCTAGATGTTGTAATTGACAAATCCACTTGTGGAGTGAAAATGTCATGTTGTCACATGCTTATGAAATTGCTCGTGTATTGGTTTGTTATGAAGTAAAAATTGCTGCAAAAATGCTTTTGAAAATGTTCAAGTATTGGTTGTTATGAGATAGGAAATGCCGTATTGATTTGTTCAGTTTTAAGAGTCTAACGGCAATCCTGAATATAGGCATGCTTGCTTTGTGAAATTCTGTGGTGATAAGGCAAATAAATAAAAATATCTTAAAATTTTGCCCATTGCCTCTCTTCGAAATATGGCTTAAAACTATCCTTATTAGTTAACCTTCATGCAAAAGTTAGTGGGTATGCTGGGAAAAATGCGCACGGCACTTTTTTTGGACACTGAAGATGGTAACATTTGATGTTGTCGTATATTGCCATCCTCTTATCATAGCATAACTGAACTTATTTTAGTGAGTTTGTTAAAGAGTTGTGCTCATTATATGCCGGTAGTATCTAAGATTTTTTCATAGCATTATATGACAAATTTAAGTTCTGCTTTCTTTTAGTTTTAGGTGATATGTATCTGTTCACTTGAGTGGTATCAAATTTTGGACAAGATTCAATTATTATTTCGCATTCCTTTATTCAAATATCCAAATAAATGGAATTATATGACATCAAGCTGGAGGACTAGATTCTGTTTCCAAACTTGTTTTTGTAAAAATAGAAAATAACAACTTATTCTGTGTTGTTCTAATAAAAACTGTTTTTGATATGCATATTTAATTTTTAAAATTACAGTCATTCTTTGTTAAATGGGTACCAGGAATACTGAAATCTTTCAGATCAGCTACCAATTCCCTTTATAACTTATGTAGCCAAGTGTTATATCTATTTCTGTTCAGATTAAAGAAATGATGGGTAAAATATTAGTTTACAAAATTAAACAAAATTACAACTGAACATTTAGCTAGATTCCTTTGTAAAATCGGCACAAAGCGACTATAAAATACAGGCCTTCGATTTAAAACATAACTACACAGCCTGTCAACTAACTATCCGCATACAAATAAGTAAACACACAAGAGACATACCTTTGAAAACAATCTCCTTGTGTTCTATTAAGTCTTTGGATCTTTATAAGCAGAAAATTTGAATATAAATCTTTCCTGTTTGAATGTTTGCTCCCAAAAGATCGAACTTAGCGCGCTGGTGTGAAAAAATTGAATTACTACAACACGTGATATATTCTAAGCATGGTAATTGGTTGAAACTAATTTGGAACTTCCACTTGGCGCAAATTATATACAGCAGAATTCAGCAGCAGGACATTCCAGAAGTTCAAATTGCAGATTTACGCAGCAAATCAGAGCAATGACAGTAAATTAATTTGACGAGAAAAACTCGATCGTCGCGCGCGATTGAACAATAAGAAGCCGATATTGGTAATATTAAAAGCAATCTGATTTGGCAACATTTACGAAAAAGCGCGTCGGCCAGCTAGATCTTGTGTCTTTATCGGATGATTTTACACGAACTGCAGGCTGAAACTATACGAATTTGTATAGCAAATATCGCCCTAATTCAAGGTTGAACAAACTTGAATATAGTTTCGGCCATTTCTATGGATTCCTATGTGCAATGGTCGAGTTATATTACACAGGCCGAGTAAAAACTAGGCGGAATATTACTCGATATTTTTACTCCTACTATACGATTAATTGTGAAGTAAAAAATATGAAGCAAAATTTACTCGGTTATTTTGATTATGAGTAAAATTTACTCCGTTATTCTGTTTGTGAGTAAAATTTACTCCGTTATATTTTACTCCTTTAAGTGGAGTTAAATTGACCCTCAGTGGAGTATATGTTCGAATGCATATATCGAAGACGTATAGGAGTAAATTTAATTTCAAAATTCTAACTCCCAATTTTTAATTCTCAGTGGAGTTGAAATTAACAGTGAACACTCAACTAAATGACCAATAAAATGTTGGTTATAATAACCTATATAAATTAGTCGAAAGATGATCAATTTTTTCGACCAATTTGTAATAGTCAAAGGAACCAAATTTAATCGGTCAAATGCGACTAACTAATTAAACAATTGGTCAAAATTAAATGACCAATTGCCAATGGTTGCAACCTAAAAAATTGGTCATTTTAACCAATCAGTTTTTACAGTGTATAGATGAACTGTTATCAAGAGTAACCTTGCAACGGAAGACCCTAACCACATACAAAATACAAAAAATATTAATAATAAAGTTGAGGTCAAAATGTACATACGACTACGTTAAGAATAATGTTAAATAAGTTCTCATTTCAGTTATTTATTGTTACACTATTATTTCTTTTGTAGTGTGCAGTATAAATATCAATTAATATAGCCTAGACATTTTCTGTATATTTTCTTTTCTAGTGAAATGGCTTTTAGCATGAAAATTTGTCTATTGGTTGTAGTAATGTTGGCGGTATTTGGAGTGAATGGACATAACCCCAAAATGAGCTCCGTTTGCGAAAAAGGTTCGTCTTAATATCCGTTGCATTCGTATAGGCAATACGAAGGCTACACGCTTTACTTGCATGGCGAGGACGATAATTTTGAATTTGAATACAATACCATTTATAATCATATTTGATGTTTTAAAATTTTAGTACGAAAGCTAGAATCAGTAACATAGAAAGGTGGGATACTAAGGATGATAGTAAAGGTTATTTTTGTAAATGATTGATCAAAATTAACTTGTAAAATCCCCCTCCACCATTTCAATATTGCTTTAGGGCAATAAAGCACAAAACTACTTCAGATAACATCTTAATTTTAGTCTGAGAACATTGAAAAGGAGGGAAGGGGCTAATTATTCTGTCGCAACCTGAACAGTCCACACATTTTGTCACTTATTGCAGCTGAACGCTTGTGCAGGGTATATTTCCATCGGGTGTTATTTTTGACAATCCCATATGCCAGATACCTCTTTTCAAAATCATACAAAATTAAATATTCATGCACTATATATGAAAGTTTATAACTCGTTCCAAATAATTAAATGCCCACTCTGAAAGCTATCATTTTATTCGCATGCACATTTGAACAGCATGTTTTTTCGTTCAACATCATTCTAAAGCTAAGGAAATAAGTAAATAAGTAAGCAACATATTAACCATAATATTTAACGTTACGGTCCTCACAATTTTGTCAGTATTTTATTGTTATTTCTATTAGTATCATCGTTATTATCATAGACGGATTTTCAGATTGTACTCGGCTCCCTACGAAATTCAAGGGGAAACGAGGTAAACCAGCGGTTGCGTAATGCTGCCAAGTGAACTGCAGCTGGTGTGAAGTGAAATTCCTGACCTCTACGAAATACCTGACCAAGCGTATCGGGTCAGAAATTTCGCGTGTACAGGCGCGAAATACATGACGCTTGCTAAATTTTAGGTCGACCAAAACTTTTCTTAGAGTTTAGATAAAATAATCATGATGTTAATTTCTAATAAATGTTACCAAATGTTTCTAATATAGACATCGCCAAATCTAAACAGCCAACTCACGAACTCATTGTCGCTGCTTACTAAATAGTGAGAATTGAGAAGGTCAAACGCGAAACGATTTTTGGTGCTTATAGTAATGCATATAGCATAACCTTTGAAACTGGAGTCTATTTTATACCACTAAGTGTAAGAGCGCTTTTCGAGTGACTTTTTCCATATCTGCGATTCAAGCTTTATTATCGCTGAACGCTAACGTTCACAATCAGTGGTATAGTGTCAATTAAGTTGATCAATTGTAGAATTGATGTTTGAAAATTTATGTATAAATAAAATTACTTTATAAGTACACGTGTTGTCTGTTGTGTTTCCAAGCCAAAGTCATTCATGCGCATCGTCTGCGCATAGGCAGTTCTACAATAGTCAGATAAGTCAGAAATTTTGCGTCACACCGGGGTCTGGATACCAGAAAATGGAAACTCTTTAAATTCCTAATTTTGATCATACTACCGTGATTTTAATGTAATGATCATTTAAATATCTTGGAAAGAGATATTATTAGCACTCATGAAGATCCGGGCTTACGGATCGAAAGCTTTGCAGTAATAAATTTACGTGGTGTTTCCACAAACAAAAACAATTATATTTTATCGCCATGCAAACATTCAAAGAACTTATCTTGGAAAGAGTTGCAAATGTCTCTAGGTATGGTACCTGGGCTTAAGATGCAGGGGGGGGAGGGGGGAGGGAATAGCAACAGCCCCCCCCCCAATTTTTTTTTTAAAAACCATGGAAATTCGGGCAAATGCTAGGAAAAATCAAGAATATTCGGGCAGATAAATCACAAAATAGGTTAAATTCAGGTAATTTCATTGCAATTCTCCAAAAAAATTCGGGCAAACTTTTTGACTACCCCCCTCCCCCCCTGAAATGCATCAGCCCCGTACACCTACGGTACTATGGTGGGAAGTTTTTCTGAGGGAATCGGTAAATTTATTTTTGGGGGTAGGAGGGATCTTACCCCGCCTCCCATATTATTATTTTATTATTATTTTATCAGTAAATCATTTAATTTCATTGGAATTTATTTTCCCACAAGCTGGACAAGTATAATCTATTATGAATTGGCATATCCATTGAAATATGCAGGCGATATTGTTTAAGTAAAATTCTTCAATGTTGTAATATATTTTATGACTTTGAATGGAAGTTTCAAGATGGTGTAACTTAAATTATTAGTGGTTAGTCATTGGGAGGCTGAACCGCAATAACGCAAATTACGCTAAAATACGTCCCACCTAATTGCTGCTCTAGGTCATGGATGCTAAATTATAACAGGTTCAACAATCAGTCCTATTATATTTCATTTCATAAGTAATTAATTAGGTCTAAGCCCCTACTTTAATCTTACACAACTCTACTTATATAGATTCAGAAACAACTTTCAGCGAGTCCTTGTTTGAAGACCCTTTCAGCGTTACGGTACGCGAAGCTGTGTTAAATACAATATTTTTTCAAAAGATGGTTAACAATACTCTGACCCCAGAAGAATATGGTGGTTACATGGTACAAGATGCGGCTTTTATTTTTGATTATGTAACCGCTTTCAAAATGGCCGCTACGAACATGCAAGATGAACAACCCCGAGACTTTGCCTTATTCTATCGTGGCCGGTCTGAAAGCTATACAAATTACGGCAGTTACTTTTACCAGAAATGGAATCTTAAAAATTCAGAGAGCGTGAAAATGGGTCCAGCTGTTGCAACATATGTGGAATTTGCAAAGAATCTTGCGCAAAGAAGAGCTAAATATCTATCAATTGGTATTCTTCCATGTGACATGCTGTGGCCGTGGGTGGCAACACAACTTAATGAAACAGTCTCGCAAAACAACGTTTATCGATCATGGGTAGATGACAACTTACCCCATGGCATTTCAACCACTCAGAGTTTTGTCAATAAGTTTTTCACTAAAGATGATAAGGATAATTGCCAGCCAATTTTCAACGAAGGAATTATCAACGAGCTTAATTTCTTTCGTTCAGCTTGTGGCGAAGATCCAGTGTATTATTCCTTCGGTGACTCGACAAAAACAAATTCTAATCTTTGAAAATTTATCACTTTATCTGGTTTCGAAACTTTATTAATTTTTTTTCAAGTTCTTTGATTCCTTTTAATATCATAAAATAGAATGCGCGTTGTAAATTGCAATCAGCATTAATAAGTAGTTCCAATGTTGAGTATACAGCAATTTAATAAAAGAGTCGAGTAAAGTTCTTCTAATTTCGTATTTTTCCCCAGGGAACTATGTAATTCCGCTCAGCTATATTTACACCCGGAAAAGGAAAAGAAAATAAGAGAAAAGAAAAGAAAAGGAAGGAAGGGAAAGGAAAAGAAAAGAAAAGAAAAGAAAGGAAAATAAAATAAAAGAAGGATTAGCGAAATCTAAAGTTAATCAACAGCTGTGGATGCATGGCTATGTTTGTGAGTTTATCGTCCATGATTGAAGTCCTCGTTGATCTCAATAATGTGCTTGTTTGCCAGGAGTGAAGGAGGCAAAGGATTGAAATAACATGAAAGAACGGTTGAAAAAATTGTTTCAGGAATTGATTCAGAATGGAAAATCCTGAAAAATATAGAATAAGTTTGTTTTGACTGTTCATGAATGACTTTGTTGTTCAAGTTTGGCCAAATCTGTTGAGACAGATGGCCGAAATTCCCATTATTTTGACAAACTTCTTCGATCCCCCCGCCCCATTTCCAATGTTGGATCTCAGCTAGTATCTTAATTTGGTGTGTACTCGGGTAAGGAACATGGGAGGGAGAGGGGGAAAGAGATATAAACATTTGTAATATTTTGCATATATCCACTAAATAAATTATTTAAAACGGCAAGTGTCCCAACCACTTTTGAAAATGATTGTAGTTTTGCTGGTGCACGTAACTATTGAATAATTTATTGGTATATCATTTACAATTGTATACATGACAGGATTACTGCAATCCGATTGGCTAAGAGGAGTTCAATTATTTCATTAATTATTTATTTTCTGTAATCAGTGGCAAATACTGAAATTTCATTGGCTTACAGGAGTGCGATTTGAGCATTAATTGCACCATTTCTGAGCTGTAATCGTAACCTTGTCTACAGTCAATGAAAATCAGTCTAGTATTTACAACTAGCCAATCAGCATTCAGAATACAAACTTTGAATTTTATTTTCTTTATTGTTGTAAAAATTCTCAAAATGGAGGAATTCACAGATTTTGACATTTTAAGTGATATATTTTCTGACGAAGATGACCTACCTGTTCTTCTAGCAGAAGACACCGAACCAGACAAAACCTGGTTCCCTAATTTAACCGAAAACGACATTGAACAGATTAAAAACTCAAATGTTAAAGTAAACATGGAGCGGTCAACAAAAACCTGGATGAATGTCTGGTCAAATTGGTGTGCAACTAGAGGAGTAAGTCAGCCAATTGAACTTTTTCCTTATGAAACATTTGGATAAACTTCTCAGCAAATTTTATGGCGAGGTTAGACAGGTGAATGGACTACGAGCCAGAAAGCCTTCGCGTGATGCAAGCTGCCATTGATCGCTACTTGCGTGACCATGATTATGGTGAAAGTATCATTTATTCAAGGCAATTTCATCAGTCTATGAAGACACTCAACGCTAAAGCAGCACGTCCCCGACAACAAGGCATGGGTAAACGTCCCAACAAAGCAGAAGCACTCAACCAAAGCGAAGAGGAATTGCTGTGAAAAACGCTTCACTCGGAAATCGTTCGCCAGTTGCGTTGACAAATGGGAATTTCAAGTGTCTTTCGGTGCAAATGGGTTTGCGAGGACGACAGGATCACTATGACGAATATGTGGAAGATTTCATCTTTCGTAAGCACGACGATGGCTCGGAATATATTGTATTCAATGAAAATCCCACCAAAACACGAAGTCGCAAATAACCCACGAAGCAAGTTATGTGGAGCACTGATGGCGGCCCTCGAGACCCAGTAAAACTTTTCAAGTCATGGCTCTCCAAATGCCCTCAGTCGATGCGAAACCAAGGCCCTCTGTATCTGACAATAATCCAACGTCTAGCAAATGAAGATGTTTGGTATACCAAGGTACGAACCAGTGGCGTAGCCAGAACGATAATTGGGGGGGGGGGCATATTCATATATTCGTGTTCTGCTTTATTAATTTCTTTCGAAATCAATTGTTTTGTGGTATGTGAACATGAATATATGAATATGCCCCCAATTATCGTTCTGGCTACGCAACTGGTGCGAACGTGCCAGAACACAATTGGCAAAATAATGCCAAGAATGACTTCGTCGCTCGAGAGTTCAACAGCGAAAATGTTGACAACTCACAGCACGAAAAAACAGTTGTACAAAAGCTGAAATCTGCTGGACAACCACGCTGTAAGATCAAGGAAATGACAGGTCATGCATCAAAGGCATCTCTAAATGATTACGACATAATCAGCGAGGAAGAACGCAGAGAACTGTCTCATATAATCAGAGGTTATAGTGCGTCAGCTTCACGAACAACAACCTCAGTACCCTCGATCGTATCGTCTTCCACAGCTCCTGGACCAACCGAACACGATACATCAATTGTTCCCGTTCAATCTGACAGCAAATTGCATCTGCATCCAACACTATCCTTCGCCAAGAAGGTTTGTTGAGTATTCCCCCCAGTGTTGACCACGATGTCCAGTGCGTGTCTGCCAAAAACCCAGTTTCCTCAACGCTAGATCCGGTTAAAATTGCCTACAACAACTGTGTTTTTAACATTGGAAACCAGACGGTGAACACGGATAATTCAGCTGCCAGAAAAAGACGTCGAGCGGTTATATTTGATTCAGAACTTCACCGTTTTGAACACGTTATAAACTTGCAACATATGGCTTCCCAATTGTGTGATGACTGTTGAATAATTAAATTCAAACAATGTTGTCATGTGATTATACCGGAAATAATACCCGGAATGTAATAATATGTTAATTTGTTTATGATAAATTTAATTCAAAATTGTACTATTTCACTAAGAATTGTCGAGACAAAAATTTAATAATTATATTGAATTTCAACGAATTGTATTTTTGTGCTTTTTCCCCTTAAACTGTTTGATTACAGAAGATAAATAATTAATAAGTAATAGAACGAATTAAGTCGTGCTATTAATGCCATAATCATACTTGTGATTAAGAAATCAACCTCCCACTACGCGGTTGGTTGATTTTGTATTCACTCGTATGATTATGGCATTAATAGCACTCCTATTCGTTCTATTAGTTAACGTCCACCGAAGCACGAGAACGAACGAATATGCAAGTATGTAAATTGTTTCATTGAAATCGCGAAAGCTGATTGGTTGGCATATTAAAACATGTACGAATAGACCAAAGTGAACGAACGAGTGAACGAATGAGTGAACGAATGACGAGTTAGTAACTATGGGAGATACGTTACAACCCATTCGTTACGACCTACTTACTACAAAACGGACATGTCCTGGTACGCTTTGTCAAGTTCAAACTCAAATTTCTTGCCAGTCTTTTTGTCACCGTTTATAGGTTAACTCTAGGACATTCCTTGTACTGCGTATCATCTGATTATTAATCGTCGTTGGTTGTCTATGACGATGATCATACATAAAGAGCTACGAATTGCAACGAATTTACTATAAACATTCTTAACAATGTTTCCTATTCGAATGAATGCAAATTATTCCTATGTGCGTGCCAAACATTCATACATACAAATATTCATGTCAATGTGCTAAACAACTAGTGAACATATCTTAAAGTAAAATGTTGTTTACGCCAGCGCGTTGATTGTTTGAAACGCCCTGGAGGATAGAACACATAGCACAAACTGGCTGAAACAAAACACACAATGTGGGCTGTCTTGACTGTACTGTATAGCACTGAGTATAGAATTCGTTGTCAGTGCATATTATGCATGCCTTTCAAACTTAGCGTTATAACGTACTCGTAAACCATAGTCCATAGTTTCAATAATGCTTCCAAGACAATTAAGACGTATAGGCGAGGTGGAACGAGCCGTGATTCATGAGCGGTATATGGAGATCGGTCCGATCTGGGACTTGATTGTGAACGATATCGTGAGGCATGAGAGATTTCGCGAGATTCCTGCTAATGTGCAGGAGCTCTATGCTAATGTTGGAAATCGACGTGCAGCAAGAAGAAGACTTCGCGATTTTATTGCAAGAGAACAAAGAGAGTAAGTATAGGACCTCTACTATTTAGTTAATGTCCTTGGCTTGTGTTTTTATACTATAAAAACGATGTGTATGATGCAAATTTATCGTATTTCAACATTGTTTAGTGGTTTAGTGGAAAGGGTAAATGAGATGCGATACGCTAATCGGCAAAATGCTTTTGACAGAGAAGCAGCTCATGAGGCCATCCTAAACAGAATCAATGCCAACCTGCCAAACCCAAACCCCCCAGAAAGAAATCTAGAAAATAACCGTGGAGAAAACGCAAATCCCCTTCACCAAGCTGGTAACAACGAAGACATGCTGCTGGGCGGAGCAGGAGAAAACGAAGACATGCTTCTGGGCGCAGCAGGAGAAAACGAGGACATGCTGCTGGGCGGAGCTAGAGAAAGACCCCAACAACGTGCGCCCGTCAACACAAATGCGGTTCGCGACGAAGTTCTCCAACAAGAACAAGCTCAGGCAATTCCTGTCCCTCCTGTAGCTCAAGGAAGGCGCCCTTATCACGCGTTAGCAAGAGAAAATGCAGAAGCATTGACTCTTCCGATCTGTTAACGAGAGATCTGCCTCTGTTAACCCAACAATTGCAGCAGACAATGGAGATGACAAATGAACTTATAAGGCGACGCTTAGAGGAACATTAATTAGTATATTAATTCGCGCTTGATTATTATGTTAAAATGTTGTGTCCATTACTTTATATACATGAAACAAAATTGTAGGCTATGAATGATCAGCCATTGATGCCAATTGCAATTTTTGCTACGATTTTATGTGAGAATTGATTAGGAATGCGTTTTTTATGTTTTGAAAACACTATATATTTTTACCCTTATCTAAATATTCATAACTCGGACAATCGTTCCTAAAATCGCAACAAAAATTGCAAATGTGCAGCATTAAAGATTATAATATTTGTGAAATACAAAATTAGATGAAATATACTATATCGACCTTCAAAACAAACACAACAGTTTCATTTCATTATTCATCTAGTAGTGTTATATCACATAGCGCTTATAAACAAGTCAAATCACGCGTGAAATGTGGATGTGCCTTTGTGCTAAGAACGAGCAAAGTTCGGTTACAATTGGGAACATCCAACGTTCATGACGCCACAAGTGACTGACAGCGCCATACTCTTTCACCTGTCTGATGCAATGTTCCACTCGTGTCCGAACTCTCGCGTGTTCTCTGTTGAACAACCGCCTTGTAAGGTTCCCAGCCGCATTTCTCCGTGGTGTGACAAGGGGATAAACACTTGGATAGCCTTTGTCTGCTAAAATATAGAGACCTTGTGGTAAGTGGAGTTCTTGTCCAGTTCCGATGACAGGCATCAGCTGAAATTGACCGCTGTCATTGTTATGCCCCAAGAACCCAGATTGAATGTATACAATATTGGAATTGTTATCCATGATTATTTGCGTGGAAAAATTGTGGTATCTGCAATAGCCGCTATAAAAATCTTGCTGACGTTCCGTTTGTGGTCGTTGAATTGCATGACGCGTTCCATCAATCACAGCCACTGCACCTGGAAACATCTCCCAATGATTAGCCATCTCTAACCATTGTTCATGTGACGGCCACCTTACAAACTGTTTAAAATAGTTCCATAGCACTGGAAGCAAAAATCGAATTTCTCTTTTGACAGTTGTTGGACTGACCATAAACAAGCCACTCAACATTACCACTTCTGGATACATCCGCAGCCAAATCACAACCATCAAAATTCGATTTCTTACATCAAGCACAAAGGGGTTATCACGAACCCTCAACTGCCTGCCCCTGGTGAAAAGTGTGACATACGGCAGCATGTCGTGCACCAGTTGACGAAACGATTCCACGCTCTCGCCTGTCATCGACCAAAACAAATGCTCACACCTTTCTAATTTGCTGCAGAAATCTCTTCCCGGGAAATGTGAACCAACGAAGTCGGGGTTTAGAATTTGTTCAGTCCGAGCTCTTGGTAAAATGGACTGAGCGCACGTTGCTATTAAACTGAGCAGCGCATAGAGCTGCCTGATACAGGCAAATAAAGCATTCAATTCATCTTCGTCAATTATTTCTCTCTGATCTGTTGCCTCTTCTATGGCCG